AAATCTCTTCAGATACTACATAGAGCCGAAAGGAAAATGAAAAGGATGGAAAGAGAAAGAAAAGCTGTCCTTTCTGCTTTCTCTTGTGGAGAAAATGGGCGTTGGGTTAGTGAAAACTGAAAAGTATTATTGCACTAACCCACTTAGGTTGACTTTATAGTTCTTCTATTAAGTGGAACCATCTATCGATAGCAAATATGGTTAAATTATAAAATAGAGGTGTCTATGGTTAAATACCTTTAACAAATTTACCATTAATTTTACCTTCTTTTAAGGAAAACTATAATAAATGAATAGAAAGCTATACTTGTCGCAATGTCCTAACTTTAATTTAATTTTAATGATTAGATAGTTCAAAAATTAACAATTACACAGATATACATGTCCTGTCGTTTTGATTAGTTTTTACGATATAATAATTTCAAAATTTAGAACTAATAGTGGCGAGCTGTATTTGTTTAGCTGCCTCAGTTTGGTTATTTTCTTGTTTTTAATTCTTAAATCCAAAATAACAATTACCATGCACTATATGACCTATACTTTTGTCTTTATATGTATCATCGTAATTCTGTCTTTTTTCTCAGCTGATATAAGAATTTTTAAAGGTCTAATTTGTATTGCTAGATGATAGATTGACAAATGTAGATTTTTTAAGAGTTAATGATAGATAGCAGATGTGCTACTTCTCTTTGCCCCAAAATATAAACATTTGCATGAATTTTTTTTCTATAAAATAAGAGCAGATACAATAGCAAACTATTAGCCAGCTATAAACATATTTTAAAAAGATAAAAGATGAGAGATAAGAGCAGCGAGCTACAGATCTGTAGCCAGCTGCAGCACGGACTCTAAGACACAATGTGTGTATGACAGGTGGGACCATATATTAATAGTATAGTAAGCAACTATTGTATGAATTGACTATTAAATTGGCTATACATGATTTAGAGCTAGTAGTTGGCTATACTATTAAACTTGCTCTAAGTGTGTCTGATACACTGATTCCAATGCACCGGGATCCATACATTAAACAAATTAGGTTTATACAGGAGTAATTTAAAATTTAACCACTAATATGATTGAAAGAAAACAACTTTTTCTTAGCATTTACTACCTCCATCCAGAATAATTGCACTCCTAGAAGATTAAAGACAGATTAGCAACACACAAACGATTGCAGTAACCCTATTTTAATTACCACATTATATGCATACATTTCATGCTTAAACTTGATTAAAAAGAAGGTTAGAAGTTGGAGATACGGAGTCAATTATTTTTATGTAATTAATTGATTGGGTCTGACATCTCAATAAAAACACAATCTTTTCATGATAAAATTTGAATTATAGATATATAACTATTCTAGGATGAAGGTAGTAACATTAAAAAGGCCTGTTCACTAGCTTTTCAGCTCAGTCCCAGAAAGACCTTAGTTTTGACTGTGTATGTTTAACGCATGACCGTCTATTTTATTTGAAAAATATTATGATTAGTATTTTTATTATTAGTAAAAGATAAAACATAAATAAATATTTTATGTGTAACTAAATATTTTTATTTTTTAATAAATTTTTAAATAAGAGGTCAAATGTTGGACACGAAAATACACAACCGTACCTAAAATGGACGGAGGTTGTAGTATTTGATTTTAAAAGAAACTTTTATATAAAAATCTAGCGAAAGAGCAGAGACGCTTATCTATGCGCGCGCTAATTGGTGGACTCACCCGCGACACAAGTCAAGCCCGAAGAAGAGTGTGAACGCAAAATAATAAAATAAACTCACGTATTTCGAAAACCGTGGGCCCCACCGACTCCCCCCCGCGCGCGCCTATATAAAGCGCGCGCCATTAAAACGCTTCTCCCACTTCTCCCTCCGAATTTAACGCGGAGCGAAGCTCAGAGCAGAGCACGCCGGCCATGGCGCGCGCCTCGAGCTCCTCGTCTCCGCCGTCGCCGCGCCTCCTCCTCCTCCTCCTGGTGGCGGTGGCGGCGACGCTGCTCCCCGAGGCGGCGGCGCTGGGCAACTTCACGGCGGAGTCCCGCGGCGCGCGGTGGCGGTCTCGCCGCGCGCGGCGCCGCGCCTTCGAGAACGGCCTCGGCCGCACGCCGCAGATGGGGTACCGTCTCTCTCTCCCTCTCTCTTTATTTTTCTCATTCGCAACTCGTGACCGCTTATACTGTATAAATTTTGGTACATTTTTCTTTTGTGTTACCAAATTTTGGCAGACTTTTAGATATGTTCAGTTTGAAACGTTCCAAAATTTTGGTGATGGTGTTTATGCGAGATGAAACTCTGGGAGCTTCAAAATTTTGGTAGAGTAATAACACGTTTAGTGAACAGCAAGCAACCGATTATCACAATGGAAAATAAAAAAGAAACAGTAATCGCGTCATCTTCTAGTCGGATTTTTTTTGGGGGAGGAAACGGACATGTCTCTAGCTTGCAGTGGAAGCGAAAGCTTCTTCTGCTCTTCTCTGCAGTTTCTGAACTCTGAAACTCTGAACTTTAAGCTGCTTTTGTTTGTTCCTTTCTTCGATGCTTTCCTGCACGGCAAAAAAACTGACATCACACGCATGTGGAGTACTACGCTTCCGTTTTCCATTTTTTTTTATCCTTTGTTTTTGTGCTCAATTTTGCGTTTGTTTATCGTGTTCGGCGATAGATTTTCTCTCTGTTTTTTTTATTCTGTCGATTTGAGACGTCAGAAGAGTAGCTCGCGCGCACGCGGACGCGGTGGGTGCATTTCTTTTTTCTCCGTTTGTCCAAAAGATTTCTGTTCTTTTCTGCATGGGAAAGAAGAAAGAAAAACTGGTGCTACTGTACAATGGACTATTGCCATGTTGGAGACCAATGTTGCTTTCTGTACGAGCAAATGTTTCGTCAGGTACAGGGCACTGTGTGAATTTTTTTTCACCCGGAAAAGTGGAAAACTTTCCTGAATTCAATGGAAAGCTTAAGAGTTCTGTCATTTGGGTTTTTTTTTTGTACATTTAGGTTCTGTCAGACTGTATAAAAGAAAAAAAAATCAGACAATCCTGTTCTCTGTCAGGCTGCAAGAACATCCACAAGGTTAACCATCATCAGATTATCACTTTGAGAAAAATTGTAGTAAGGTTTAGACTCCACTGCATAAAAAATCTTCAGACAAGGGACAACCGAGAGAAAGCGAGCATGTCCACCAAAAACAGGCATAAAAATTTCCTGCTTTTCATTTGGCTTCTGCTTCTTTTGACGGGCATATCTATGCTCTTTTCTTTTCTTTTCTTTTGCTTGTCCCTTTTAGCCTCTTTTCTTGTGCTGACATATTCAACTATGCTGCCTCTATTAAATTCTGTCACAATTGAACTGGTTTTACCGTACATGTACTTCCATTTCATTGTTCTTTACGCATCAGGCAGAATTTCCGCACTTTCTTTTACCACCTACTCATTCCCTCCAAAAAAGACAAATCTGGGTTTTCGTGTCCAACGTTTGACTGTCTATCTTATATATTTTTTTATAATTAATATTTTTATTGCTGTTAGATGATAAAACATGATTAATACTTTATGCATGACTTATCTTTTTAATTTTTTTATAATTTTTTCAAATAAGACGGACGGTCAAACGTTGGGCACGGAAATCCAGGGTTTGTCTTTTTTTTGGGATGGACGGAGTACTCCCTCCGTCCCTCCGTCCCACTTCGTCCTCGTCCAAATTCGTATTATTAGGATGTGTCATATCCTCTAACATATTAGAGAGTACTTCATATGTTCCAAAATATCAAAGTATTTTTATATTATTTAGCAAATATTGAAATTAACAAAAACAACTTTGATGTCCTTCATTAAGCGAGGGATGATTAGGGATGTGAGGACATTTTAGTAGAAAGAATTTCGAATGGGAGATAATCCATACAGCAAGTAGTACTCTAAATTATGCTAGAAATGCTTATATTTTTAACCAGAGGGAGTTCTTTAGAGTTCAGACTTCATAATATGTCGGTGTTGTAAACAATACTGCTAGTCTTTCAGATTCACGTGTGTAGGCATTAGCAGACAGTGGTACAAATGCATCAATGGTCGTGGTTTTGTCAAGTAATAAATTAATTAACAACTGCTGTGCGACTGACGCTGTCTCTCGGTGTGTGTGGCTGTGTTAGGTGGAATAGCTGGAACCACTTCTACTGCGGGATCAACGAGCAGATCATCAGGGAAACAGGTACACTTGCTTCTGCCACTAGTGCTCTCTTCTCAACTCAACTTATTTCTGCAACCCATGGCGTCACACTTTGATCTCTCCAGTACGCCACGTACCGTGTTTTGGTATTTTTCTCTATACACATTGCATTGGTTCCCAATGGACACGGATCCTCTACAGTATTGCTGTTGTTGACATGTATACCTAGTCATATATATCAATGACATCTGCAGCAGGTGTAGTACTGCAAACAATCCCCGTCGGTTTCCAATGTGCATCAGCACATCAGGAACCGAAAACTTGCAACCTCGTCAGAAATCTTTCCAATGAAGCTTAGATTATTTTTCTAGGAGATGACTTAATACGTTGATTTAGTAGTTTTTAGTTGGGAGGACACTGTTTTTGAAGTTCTTTTTTTTTTCAAGAAGTTTAGTAGTTCTAAACTATGCACTAATTTGGAACATCTTGGAAGCACAACACATAGTGGTGGGGTTCGGCGTAGTGTGGTGGGTGTGGTGTGTTTGGATGCATCAACGTCAGCAACAGCAGGCTACAAAAAACATTCAGAGAAAAAAAAAAGGTTGCCGTCGGTGATGCGACTTATCTGAAATTCCCCACGTACTTTTGTCATACCCTGCATCAAAACTTCCAAGAAATAATAAAAAAAAGGATCATTCATCACAGGCTATGATTAAAGCAAGTTAACAAATGACACGTCATTTGCTACTAATCTAGTAGCCGACCTATACAATAGTTAGATACATACAGATACATACTAACACCTCATAAGGCTTATTAAAGCTTGTGTTGCAACAGGTTACCGATCTGTAGCCCGTCTTTTTTCAAGTCTTGTCTCTTTTCTCTAAGAACACAGCTTAAATCTTGGTAACTCCGATGGCTATCACTTCATTATACTTGCTCTTACAAGTTGGTAGTGTAATAAGAGTTGGGTAAAAGTAAACAGCCATGAATTGGGGCGGTGAGATCTCGAGTCACCCGAGAGACAACAATGCATCTGTTTTGGTATAGCTGCGAGCTGTACGGCCGCAGGGCGAGACCCTTGTCGGCCGGCACGGATTACTACAGCTAGGATTAACTGCAGGGATGAGCTTGAGCTTGCAGATTTACAGCTTGCAAGCAGCAGGTTTTGCATGGACCCAAGCTAGTACTAGCAATGCAAAGGACAGCGACCAGATTGGCTGCACCTGCACACTGCACACACACACTGCCATGCTCTCTATCTCTCCTGACCAAATCTTTATTCTTTGGGCACCAGACGAATCAGATCTGGTTCAGAGATGCCCTGCCCCTTTTAACTCTTCCACCATGCAACTTGCCTGGACGACTGAATTTTTAGTCGGCAATGTTCAGTAATCAGTCACGGCTTGCTTGCTTGCTTGGCCGATTTGTTTGTTGCTCCAGCATGCTAGGATTGCTTAAGAGTTTCAGGCAGAGCAGCTTCATGTGCTAGTGCAGTGTGATTAGGAGCTTTTTGCAGATTGCAGTAGATAGCATCCTCCCTTGGTTATCCAATCAATGGCTTTTTAGTGGATGGAAAGAGCAAAAGATTCCATGCATGGAGTAGATAGCTTTTGTTTTGTTTTGTTTAGAGGAGCAAGGCCACATGTGTTGCAAAACATTGTGGCAGAAATATGGAAATGAAAGGGAGAGTGAGAGGGTCCATGTTGAATAAGACCCTTTGGCCAGAATGTTCATAGGAGCTTTAATTACCATGTTGATAACGGATGATGAGGCCCCATAACCAAGCAATGCTGATCTCCAGAATGGGTGAAGACATTTTCACTGATTCTGATCTGCACAACTGGATTATGTTGAATTAAATCATTCATGTCGACAGCTTGTGGAGGGCAGATCTCTGAACAAATCTAGAGTAAATGTCTTAGATCAGATTTTTATGACTGAGTACACATTAATCATCTCATCAGTCATCCAGTCAATCTTGGTGGTCCAAACAAAATCAATTGACAATATTGTCACCACAGTCTAGTACTACTACAAAGTATGTGGTTGGTAATAGATGAAAGGAAGTCCATGGAAATGGGGCCCTACAAGCTTGGGGTCAGCCATGGATTGGTACTGCCTAACTACCAAACTCTAAATAAGAGGATGGCAGCTGCAGCCTGCAGGCAGGCATGAAACCTGCTCCACTTGGACTCACTCCATTTACATGTAACCATAGTTAGTACTAGAACCACTCTCTAGCTACTTGTATAGTTGTATGTTCCAGCTTCCTAGTAGGTGGTTATGGACAAACACCCGTGATGATCTTAGTGTCTTATCAGAATAATCATGGTACTGATTTGGTCTGGTATCAAATTTCTGTTACAAACATTGTTCCTTAATATTGTCAATATTATGCACATAGTGTTTTTTTTTTGCTGGGCCGGCCAAAGGAAGAGGCTGATCAAATATCATTAAGATTTGAAGGAGAATTTGCAAAGTTACAAGCATCGACAGGGAAGCCTGTCGAACCAGACGCCTTTTGAGATTTTTTGTACTACAGATTTAATAGAAGCTGTTTTTAATAATGTTGTGAGCAACTGAGAGTTAAGGCTGATGTAATTGTGTTCCTTTCTTCAGCTGATGCATTGGTCAACACTGGTCTGGCGAAATTGGGGTACCAGTATGTGAATATAGGTATGGGCTTTTATCTGATAGAAACTATGAACAGTATTTCATATGATACACTAGAGTATGGACACAAACATTGTTGATATATTAGCAAAAGTTAATTCAATTATTTTGTGATAGAACAGCTAGTAACTCATGTCTGTAATGTTTTCCATCTCTTCTTTCAGATGATTGCTGGGCAGAATATAGTAGGGATTCCCAGGTAAAGAGACAAAAATATTCTCCATAAAGCAATGCTATCCACCGCCATAATTTTCAGCACAATTTTAGGATACAAATTTGAGAACCTTGTCTAGTTTGTTGATGAGCCTGAGAAATTTTAGACTGGAAACAATCATTAACAATTACAATACACATTAATAAGAAAACGTATGTACTTTCTATCAGTTTAATGTGTCATAACTAGAAATTTTATATGTGAAAAATTCTGCATGGGGGGAGAATGAGCAATTTTAAAAGATCAATGCTTTAAAATTGTGTAGACCAAGCTATTGCTGTCAGTTTTGACAAGTTGTACTGCTCTTTTTTTCGCTTCTCAGGGTAACTTTGTGCCAAATAGGCAGACGTTCCCCTCTGGTATCAAGGCACTGGCAGATTATGTGCATGCAAAAGGGCTGAAGCTTGGCATCTACAGCGATGCCGGGTATGCTAGCTTTCAGATTTATCATAATGACAAACTACTTTGTACTCATCCAGAAGTAACTTATGTCATCATTAGCCTAGATGAACTAAGAATTTTATCGAATATAAACTATCAACAAATCTGAAACTAATAGCAAGACTGTATTTCAGGTCACAAACATGCAGTAACAAAATGCCAGGATCACTTGATCATGAAGAGCAAGATGTCAAGACCTTCGCGTCTTGGGTAAACCTCGACTCTTTTACCTGTCTGGTTATACCCAATCAACATTAAACACTGAAACTATTATTCTGGTGTTCTTAATTCTTGACCTCTATGTTCCAGGGAGTTGATTATCTGAAGTATGACAACTGCAATGATGCTGGCAGGAGTGTCATGGAAAGGTAAGGAGACAAAACATCTCAAACTGTCAGCTTTATGCATCAGATTGCTGATGAGCAACTGTTTTCATGTTTAATGCAGATACACTAGAATGAGCAATGCCATGAAGACCTATGGAAAGAATATCTTCTTCTCACTCTGTGAATGGTGAGTTTACTCTCTGTAACATTTAGGGCTAGGTCGAAGGAACATGAAGCATTGCTGATTCACTCCACTGTGTTTTTTTTTCTGTATAGGGGGAAAGAAAATCCTGCTACATGGGCAGGCCGCATGGGTAACAGCTGGAGAACAACTGGCGACATCGCCGACAACTGGGGCAGGTTCTACTCATCCTCTCTTTAACCCTGTTTACATAGTTCTTGAGTTTTTCAGTACTGATCGTAATTGCCCTGTTATTTCAGTATGACATCTCGTGCAGACGAAAATGACCAATGGGCTGCCTATGCTGGACCTGGTGGATGGAATGGTAAGAACTTGAGATGTATCTGTTCCTAGGTTGCTTAACCATTTGAGAGCTTCAAAATGATCAACATATGTTTCTGCTGTGCAATATCAGATCCTGACATGCTTGAAGTGGGAAATGGTGGGATGTCTGAAGCTGAGTACCGGTCACACTTCAGTATCTGGGCACTAGCAAAGGTACCATAGCATGTTCTATGTACTAATAATTTTGCTGCAATGTTGAACTTCTTTGCATTTCCTCACTGCAAGTTTTGCTTGAATTGTTCAGGCTCCTCTTTTGATCGGATGCGATGTGCGCTCAATGAGCCAGCAGACGAAGAACATACTCAGCAACTCGGAGGTGATCGCTGTCAACCAAGGCAAGCCTTCTCAGTTTCACATGCTTAGATTTAGCCATACCTCTTGGATATTTCACCATACTCATAATGTAACTCTCTGAACAGATAGTCTAGGTGTCCAAGGAAAGAAAGTACAATCTGACAACGGATTGGAGGTATGCCTTCAATGGCTTCCAAATTTGCAGTTTCTCATTGTCCCATAAGCCTTGGCATGATCATGACTAACTCTGAAGCTGACAATACTTTGTGTAAATTTGTCGGTAGGTTTGGGCCGGGCCACTCAGCAACAACAGGAAGGCTGTGGTGCTCTGGAACAGGCAGTCATACCAGGCAACCATCACTGCACATTGGTCGAACATCGGGCTCGCTGGATCGGTCGCGGTCACTGCTCGTGATCTATGGGCGGTAAAGCCTTTGCTTTCTTCAGAGCTCAAAGTAGAACATCTTCTCTTCAGAATTCAGAGTTCATAACAAATTTCTGTCAATTGTGCAGCACTCTTCGTTCGCGGCTCAGGGACAGATATCAGCATCGGTGGCGCCTCATGACTGCAAGATGTATGTCTTGACACCAAACTAGTCAGCAAAGAAAAGCAGCACAGGTTAGTACGTGTCCGGCGAATACAGCTAAATTGATCAGGATTCAGGAAGAAGGTTTGCAATTTGCAAGGATTGGTAGAGCTGGAAATGGGATGCCATTTGGTTATGTATGTAGAAATAAGCTGTAAGCCTGTAAGCGTATATGTAATCAGCCGTCAAATGCTGGCGAGTGTATTTCTGAAGTTTGCAACGAAAGTTGCAGCAATAAAAATACAAAAAGAAGGCTTTCCTGCCACTATATAAGATATGAACATATGAATTTTTTGCATCGCCTGAAGACCTGATTATACGGCTAAACACTTGAGACACGGCAACTGCAGGATATCAAAATGAGACGACATCACCAACGGCCAACATCCTCAAGCAACACCGCCTCACCAACGGCCCCGTCGAGCTCCAGATGGACCCCATCACCACCTCCGATGACCACGACGACGACGACGAGCTCATCATCGATAGGAGGGGCTGGATGAACTGGAGGACGCCGGAGAAGAGGGCGAAGAGGATGCTCGAGGAGGAACAGGAGGAGCTGGAGGACGAAGCCAGATGGAGGAATAAGCTTAAGGAGGAAGCTTAATTAATTATGTGGCTTAGTAATTTGCAAGTTTCTTTGTGATCCAGCTATCCTATACTCCCTCCATCTCAAAAAAAAAAAAACAACCTAATAAGATGGGACATAATCTATATCCTATCCTATTCTGACTAAATTAAGTTTTTTTTTAGACGGAGAGAGTATATATTATATAATATATATGAGTTATATAGATATCGTCTCGTCCAGAAAAATCGTCTTTTTTATAGTGTATACTAGTTCTGCTCATCATTATATTATACTATAATGCAATCTTGCATCTTACTCCCCCGTCCCAAAATAAGTGCACCCATGGTTTTTCGCGCCCAATTTTGACAATTTGTCTTATATGAATTTTTTTTTAAAAAAAACTAAAAACATAAGTCATAAGTAAAATACTATTCATGTTTTATCATCTTATATCAGCAAAAATACTAATTATAAAAAAATTTTAAATAAGACGAACGGTCAAAGTTGGACGCGGAAACTCATGCGTACACTTATTTTGGGACGGAGGTAGTATCTTGCTACCGGTGATTTAGAAATATCAAGTACAAACAGCTGGATGTACCCACTCTCTGCTACAAGTCTTGCTATCTACTTCTATCTACTTCCTCCGTTTAGATTCATTAACATCTATATAAATATGGGCAATGCTAGAAAGTCTTATAATATGAAACGGAGAGAGTATTAATTTTATCGTCTTGCGTTAACAATTTTTTTGGGTGCAAATTCAGTGCTCGCTGGGTACTTAAGAATGACTGATGTTTTTTTTAAAAAAATTATTTAACCCATAATGCTATGGCCAACTGGAATTGGTATAGTTCATTACTCAAGACATGTATTTGATTAAATTAATTACTCTTCTTCCATACTGTACCTTGTGCTGCTTGCAGATTTATATCGAGGTTCAATCAGTGTTCTTATGGTGATGATCGATAGAGAAACATCCGGAGATTTTCTAGCTAGCTACACAGGGTGATGGGCTAGACGATTTGGGTTTGAAGTCTTACTCTTATAATTATTTGATATTAGGTCATTTTCTAATATTCGTGTCTTTTTACGGCGATGATCGACAAAGTGACGCCTAGTCATTAATTTACTGTCTTATTGCCACACTTTTAATTTCCCTCGTGTGTCATACTCAACATTATGTACATGTGTTCATGCCATAACATATTTCATCTTCTTTTTTTTTTTGCATGGTCCTTTAAGAGCACAAGGCTTCAGAAGTTCGCCCTCTGTGGACAAGGAAGGGCAACACCGAAGGCAAGGAGACCTTGATCACACAACCGCACCACCTATATAATTCATGTCACAGGCAGCAGATTTCAGGTTGGCTATCCCTTTTCCCTTTGTTTTTGCATGATGATATGTTAGCAAATCAAAGTACCCGATTGATGTTCAGATTCTACCACATCACACACATTGGAAACAGAAAAAAAAAGTTTCTCATTATGTGCTTCATTTTTACTTCATCCGTTTCATCGTATTGTATTATAAGTCGTTTTGTATTTTTTTTCTCTAGTCAAACTTGGTTAAGTTTGACCAAGTTTATAGAAAAAATTAGCAATATCTAAAATATGAAATTAGTTTTATTAAATCTAACATTGAATATATTTTGATAATATGTTTGTTTTGTATTGAAAATACTACTATGTTTTTTTATAAACTCGGTGAAACTTTTTTAAAAAAATCAAAATGACTTATAATATGAAACGGAGGGAGTATTATGTTTCCTTCTTTCTTGAACTTTCGTGTTATGAATTGAAGTTGGTTTGTCAATGTCAGGAAGAGAAAATTGAGGTTTTTGTTAAAATGGTGAAGGGGTTTATTGATGTTTTCTTACAGGGTGGCACATGCTGAGGAGCCAAAGATGGCAACCGGTAAAGAAATTTCAGGATCTTTGAGGTCAGTATGGCCTTTTTGCCTCTATATGTCTTTCTATTTAAGATACCACAACTGATGTCAGGCTATACCTGGTAAATGAAAGTAATGAGGTCATAAGATTGGTGCATAACCTTGTTGTCAGCGGCTGATCTTGATACTTTTTAAAGCCCGGGCAAATACATATGTGAAGAATTATATACATTGTTAAACACTGAAAATTTAAGGTATTGTAATGGTGTGATCCGCCGGTGAGCCTGGGCAGCTGCTCGAGGTAGACGGACCTTGGATCCGCCACTGCTTGTTGTCCAGATGTATTGTCATAATTGCTAGGTGAAGCTGAAAAAACCAAAATGTTTTCTTTTATAGACCTGTGGTAGCCTGCCCTCATGTGGTTTATGTTATCTGTAAGGTTTCATATAACTGGTTTCTGCTCTGCTATGCATAATTCTTCTTTTAAATGCTCCATACTTGTTAGAAAACTAAAAATAGAGACAACGAATCATGAATTCTCCCGTGCTGTCCCTTTATATATAGGGAGATTACAAACCGTATAAAGGGAGATTACAAACCTAGTTAATTCTAGGCATTAGTGTAATACATCAATTCTTATTCTAAAGGTAGCAATAAGGTTGATTCATTTCCTTGCAATAAGGTTGATTAATGGTTTTAACCATGGCTATTACAATGGATTTAAAACCATGATGGCTGCATTGACTAGGTCAAATAATGTCCTTTTGTAACAATACTGATAGTGTTTAGTGGTAGGACAAGTGAGAATATTCAGATTTGAGAGTTAATAGAACTGTGGGCCGTGCAAAATTAGTCGTTGAGAATTTAGATGTTTCTACGGTTCGCAATGGTGCGCACCCTATCGGGTAACAATAAGCATGTTGTAGCAGACAAAAGAATTTATATTTTCACTTGTTGACAAAATTAGAATGAACTATAGGAAAAAAATCATTGCTTACATGGGGCATTGTACTCGATGCAGAACAACATTAAGGAGAGCGAGTGCCATTGGGGGCAGAAGAACATGTTGTATGAAGACTGATTTCCCTGAAAAATACTGGGAATGACAGATTGGTTCTTATACATGGCATTTGGGCTTTTTCTGTGTTTCGACTTAATTAATTAGGGCTTGTTCAATTTTCTACCATTTTCAAACTTACTAACATTGGGTAATACCAAATTTTGGTAGTATTAGATGCGTTTAGTTTAAAATCTTACTTTTATGTTGGTAGAGTTTTTGAGAGTGGAAGTTTCTGGATTTTTCAAATTTTGGTATGGTAGCAATGGTAAGGATGTGTTTGGTTTGTTGCTCTAATAAAATTTGACGATGATAAAATTTGGTAGGGTTGAAAATAGCAATAAAGAAAAGTGAGCAGGGTACTCCTAATGATGTTGTACTGTTCTATTACTGTTCTATTAACTCAATGTTGGTGATTGTTGTCATCATTTACCTTGCATGAACAGGTTGTACAAACTGGACCATTAATTAATATTATATATGTAGTATCATTTAGATGCAGTAAATATTCATTCAGTATGAACTAGCCACTTTGTCACGCATTGCGTGACTTTGATGGCCCCCTATGATATGTAAAAGTTCTATGATGAATGTCTGCTAGATATATGTGCGGAATTTCAATTTTTATATGAAGAACTTGATAAAGAATTGCTATGGATTTTATTTCATTATATAATTTTTTTTATTTTTTTGTTTAACTAGAAAAATTGCCCGTGCGTTGCAACGGGCGAAGGTTATTTTAATCTTATTATTGTTATACGGTTTAGTTAAGGTGAAATTCAGTATGGGAATTCGCTTGAATATATAATTTTTTTAGAAAATCATGAGCTGCAGTTAGGAGTATGATCATCTCAAGTTAGCATGTGAGTTTTTTTAAAAAGATTTATTATACGACTTCTTTTGTATTTAAAAAACAAACGACCTTAAAAACCAACTCAAATACGGATATATATTTCAAAAGCGAATAAAATTAAAAACCGACTCATACACAGATGGCGTACCAAAGTACCGACAAAAACATCTTTATTTTCATTTTTATAATAGTAGAGATGTACCTCTGGTTAGCTTGCTTCCGTCAGCGGCGCAATGCCGAAACTCTAGATCATATAGGTTTCATATGTTGACTCGAAATCAACCTGCCATGTTACCAAACCACCGCTGAGAAAGAGTCGATTAGTACCTGTTTTTAATTATTGGAGGAGACGTACATTGTATCAGGTTTTACGTTTTGAGACCTTATTAAGAGAAAAGCAATATGTGAGGGAGGCAAAATAGACTTACTGTTAGTTGGACCTGTGAGTAGAGGCCCAGCCCATTTAGCTCCTCCTCTCTTCCTCGCAGTGCCCGTGCCCGCCGCCCTCGCAACAACATCTGTGAGGGTTTCGACTCGGCAGCAATGGCGAGGGATGAGATCCAAGCCGGCATCCCCAAGCTCAACTCGACAACTCCCCCGAGAAGAATGGATCATCCAAGAAGAAGAAGAAGAAGAAGAAGAAGAAGAAGGCACAAGCACAAGCACAAGCCCGACGAGGTGAAAGAGGAGATGGTGGTGGACGCCTTACCCAAGGAGGAAGAGGAGGAGGAGCGCGGGAAGAGGAGGAAGAAGAAGAGGAAGAAGCTGGTGACGGTGAAGCTGAGCGACGAGCTGATGGGATACCTGCGGACCAAGGAGGTTATGGCCTACCTCGCGCGCGAGACGCCTCGCCCGCTCCCGATCGATCCCAGCATCGCGCAGCACATGTTCGTCGGCCAAGAACTCAGGCAGGAAATCGCTGCCCAAGTTCACGAGAACAGAGAATTCGACGCCTTCGTCCTCTACCAGTACCGCACCAAGGGCTACGCCGAGATCCAGCAGGAGGTCACCGATGACGACGACGACGACGGCTAGAATCTGTATGGTATGTTTTTGCAGGGATCGATAAGGGACTACCTATATATTTGTCGACAAATTTTCTAGTAAAAATTTGACAGATGTAATTATAGTACAATCATAGTGTAATTACACTGTAACTTGTATGTAATTACACTGTAACTTGCATGTAACTATAGTGTAACTTGTATGTAAGTTTCACGTAATTTTGAATCGTTAGATCTATTACAAGATTTGTTCTGGTGAAGAAGAAAAAAATCATAGCACACACATATGTGAAAGGATTTGTTCCCACGATCTCTATTTTACTGAAATAACATGTTACCGAGAGATTCTTGAAAGTTACATACAAGTTACATTATAGTTACAGTGTAATTACATGCAAGTTACAGTGTAATTACACTACGATTGTACTGTAATTACATCTGACAAATATTAGGGGGAGAAATTTGATGACAAATATCTAGCAAAATCGTGTCTTCATCTATTCATTTGATTAATCTTCAAACAACTCACAAGTGTGAATCTTCTGCGGTATTGTTCTTTTGTTCATGTGCCAATGCAGTGTGATTTGGTGCGCTCTTTTTTTCATATTTTAGTAGATAGCACTCTCCCTTGGTTATACAATCAAGGGCTTTTTAGTGGATGGAAAGAATAAAGAATTCCATGCTTTTGTACATTTGTTTAGAGAAACAATATACATGTGTTTGCAAAACTGTGAGCTTTATGCATCGTACTGCTGACTAAAAGATTATCTTCTCACTCTGTTGAGTTGGTTTCACAACCCTATCGAACCACTTTGAAAAAAGTCTGAAACAACGGATTGGGTTTGCACCAGCCAATTCACCTGCATCTGTTGCTTAAACAGAAATAAAATAAAATAAATTCTCATGCATCTTCATGACGATTATTGGCCAGAGCTAATCATAGATCTTTTTCAGTGATCTCAGTGACAGAAAAGATAGCAGGGATTTGTATGCCCGTGGTTCGAGGGAGGGGTCCATATATTTATTGGGCCGTAACTGAATTCTGACCTACGTGCAGCCCATATTAGTTCGGCCTGAAAGGACATTCCGATTTATTGCAGCCCATTTTGTTGTCGGGCTGGAACGGCGGTATCACCCTAGTTGGGCTGGACGTGAGGCCCAATAACTGATGCTTACCAGTTGGGCCGACCCGAGATGGATGACCCCGTTATTGGGCCTCGTATCGCCGCCGGCCCATCCCATCGCTAGTGCTCGCGGAGGCCGGAGCGGAGGAGGAGACGGACGCGGCGGCGGCGCCACCGGCGACGGCCTCTCCTTCGTCTCGTTCTCCGCTCTGCTTGACGGGAGGCGGCTCCTCCGCGCGTCCCCCTCTCCGCCGCGGTGACCGGCCGAGGGGTGCTCCGCCCTCCGCTTCTCCCAACCCCGGACGGGGCGCCGCCGAGCCAGTGCTCCCCGACGGCGGCGGCGGCGGCGAGGAACCCGTCCCCGACAGCCGAAACTCGGATCCCAACTAGGAGGAGCTGCAGAAAGCCGGCGTCTCCTACCTCCAACGGTGGGAAATCTCAAATCTCTCAAGTCTCATCTACTGATTTAGTTTTGTTCATTCTCTATTTCTGCTATTTCTGTTGTTATTAGTTCTCAAATGCCTAGATGGATAGATTGAAGAAATTACAGACTAATTGAAAATCATCAAAACTTTAGCTACTGAATGAGATGGGTGATGAAATGGCTCAACCATCACATGGTGAGCCAAAGACATGTGCAACAGCCAACAGTGCAAGCATTGAAAAAAAGGGAAGATATTTTTTCTTCTAACATGTAAGAACCCGAAAGATGAAGCTTCCTCTCACTATTTTAATTTCTCGTTAAGATGCGATTTTGTGATTCATTTATATCCGTAGGATCAAGATGGTGACAGTGAAGAAGAAGAAATCTTTGCCTGCTCTGGCTCACAATACTTATTTTCGTACTGAAGCTTGTTCATTATTGTTAAATTGAGCAATCATTTCCTGACTCTCATTCAGGCTTCGACTTGACTGCAAAATATGGATCTTTCTCCTTTCAAGTTGGATATTGATGAGCTACTAGCGGATTATACCGAGGTAATTTTGACTATCCTGCAATCTCTCTAGGTGTGTCACATTTATATCAGCTTGACGTTGCTGTTTTTCTTATTGGTAGGCAAATTGCACTGCATTCGCTGATTTCAAGAGATTGTGGATGGCAAAGAAATTTTCTTATATCTATGAAGGAAGACCTAAGACAAACTCTGGCGCTTTCATGCAGTCGCTCTTTTTGCATTGTATTGGTAGGCTGGCTTCCTGGAAATTTGCACTGACATACCCACAAATAATCTTTGGAGTCATTTCTGATCAATTTTCACTTTTTTACTATTACAGGTCATATGACATCTCAGAGTTGTATGCCTCAAAGATTGGCTGGACTTTACTGCCTTTACTGTCTTTACGAATCGCAACCATACAAGCCACATTTCAAGATCTATTTGTCTCTTGGTAATGCACTTGCTTTCGGTCACTAATTTGGTGCTTCTGATATCACTAGCCAAATGCCCATGCGTTGCAACGGATTACTGAAATAGTAAAAATTAAATCCTTGTTGAAAAATAATGATCTTTTATTTGGTTGAAACAAGATCTTTCATCTTTAAAAAAGAAATGAAAAATGCCATACTTAGGATTGTGGTTCTCAATGTGAGACATAAACATAAGTAGTTTCCAGTACTTGAATATAAATCGGTGACTCCAACCATTTTAACTAAATGTCTTTTTTCATATGATAATGAAATATATATTTTGATTAAAGTTCGAAATATGTACTCGTTAATAAATATGCAAAGCAATATAAGCTGCAGACTGCATAGTAGTATAGACTATACATACAACATGGGCCACATGTCAGTGATCGTGGTGGTGGTGGCACCGCTACTGTCTTTTAGAAGTAGTATAGACATACTAATATGCTCAGTATTTGTATGCAACAGAGGAGTTGAAGAAACTCAAGGATTTTGTTGTTGAGGCTAAGCAAAATGGAATGGCTGTTGTACCGTCACTTGTCAAAAGAATGCTGGACAAAGGAATGATTTTGTTTGGATTCATCAATCTACTTGGTGACTCAGGGGTGAAGCAGGTCAATGAGTTAACTGCATCTCAGAATAAGAGAGTGAAATTCGCATGTGACAAGTATGTGTTAAACTGATTCTCATTAGTATTTGTGATCCATTCCATTTACTATTGTCCTATTCAAACAAGAACACGTAATAAATTATTGCATGCTAATATTTTGTTGTTATCCTCCAGGTTGTTTATGAATACTCAGATAGACAGTTATATGCACATGGATTTGGTAAGGTTTAGCCTGTTGACTTAAATAACTTCTTTTTGTTTCTTTCATGCCTTTTTACATTATAACAAATGACAATACATCAACATGACCACAAGCCCATACTAGAAATCCTTTCATTTAGTTTCTCAAAATATTACATACCCTTCTGTTACTGACAAATTGATCTACGTCTAGGGTTCGGAGCTTGAACTTGATAAGATCAAGAAATCATCGTTGGATTATGCCAAAGCCAAGGAATTGGCATTTGCAGGTGCTCTTAGTTGTTTCCATTGCATTATATAGCTTTCAGTTTCTGTGTGTACTCACTGAGAACTTTATTATCAGTAACGATGATTTTGATCCTCCTCCTACTGGTTTTATCCTTTTTCTGCTTCACAGAGGCAAGCAATATTATCGATGTTGAAGATGCTAGGCACATTGTTCAGAATGACAAACTGCTGGGCGACAGGGTAGATGAAATCGTCAAAGAATGGGATGCACAGAAGGAGGCCTTCTACGAGAAGACGGGAGTACGTCGCGATGAACTAGCAGTAGTTGAACATGACGAATCAGGAGTACTCCCTCATGAAAACGATGAATTCGATGAGATTAGACAGCTGCTGCTAGAGTGAAAGTAGTGTACAACAGCATCCTCCTAAAAAAACAGATGAAATCATTCATTGGCTTACTGGAGTCTCTCAGTTTTTTTTTCCTTTTGTCACTCATATGCTCTTTTTGAGTGTTTTACTGCCCTGCTGTACGTTGCAAACAAAAACAACTTGTACATAGTAGTGATATGTTGGATGAATGTTACTATTACCATATTGCGTAGTTGTACATTGCAAGATTCATTTATAAGACATGGATTTCATAAAAATTTTGCAGAAATCTCAACAGAAAGAGTTTGAATTCCCGTGTTCCAAATGAGCCTGTGATATGTTTGATATTTTTTTCTCCATTATTTGTGCAGCAAGTTGATATCACTCGATGTTCTGATTGGTTCCTGAACTTATCAGCTCGAACCAAAATTTATATTTTAAATATTAATTTTAGAGTTGATTTCGATTTTTAACATAGTTTATTTTCAAGCAAATGACTTGGAAGTTGGAACAAATATATAAACATTTTACTTTCAATTTTTTTTCTAGTAACCGTTGTGGGTTTTGATTAGCTCGAGGTGATTTTTTTTGGACTGTCAGTCTCCCAGAGTCCAGAAGAGGATAGTGGAAAAAAATGTGTGAAAGAGAGACACGTGGCGCGCGCAAAAGATCCACGTCCCTCGACTCGCCCGCACCCCCGCCACTCCCCCTCTCCCCTCTCGCCGCCGTCTCTCGCCGCCGCCGCGGCGCTCGTCGAACACCTACCGCCCGCCGCCCGCCTCGTCGCCGGTGCGGAGCGCACCGGCGAGCGAGATGTGGCCCGCCGCAGCCGCGTCCCTCCACGTGCTCGTCCTCCCGCCACTCCCTCCTCCCGGTTGCAGGACGCGCCGAGCCGCCCCTGTCCTCGCGCGCCGCGGCCGTGGCGTGCGACATGCCGCGCGCCGCGACACGCCGCCTAACCCGGTGGACGCGGTCGACTGCGTCGGCACGGGCGCCGACGTCGAGTGCTACGTCGACGACCGCCCAGGCGCGGAAGTGGGGCCCATCCGCCGCGAGGCGACGCCGCCGCCCTCCCCGCAGGACGCGGTCGACTGCGTCGGCACGGGCACGGACGTCGAGTGCTTCGTCGACGGCCCAGGCGCAGGCGCAGGCGTAGGCGCGGAGCCCCTCCTCGCGCGGGTCTCCGAGGAGGAGGAGGATGGCGTCTCGGCCTCGGCGGCGGCGCTCGTGGGGAGGGAGTGGTGGGAGTGGGCGTCGCTGGTGTCGCCCTTCTTCTTCTGGGGCACGGCCATGGTGGCGATGAAGGGGGTCATACCCAAGACGGGCCCCTTCTTCGTCGCCGCGCTCCGCCTCCTCCCCGCCGGCGCGCTGCTCGTCGCCTTCGCCGCCGCGCGCGGCAGGAGGCAGCCCTCCGGCTGGGCCGCCTGGGTCGCCGTCGCCGCCTTCGGCCTCGTCGACGCCGCCTGCTTCCAGGTGCTCCCCCCCGCCATAGCTGCAAGGTGTTCGCTTCTTAGCTCTAGCGTGTGGCTGTGCTGTTCCTGAGCTAAAAGCATTCGTCTCATCTCGCAGGGATTTCTCGCGGAGGGATTGCAGAAGACATCGGCTGGGCTCGGAAGCGTAAGCTGAATTCTCACTGCTGTTCTTCACCTCCTCATACCTCGAGCAAGCCATTGATACTGCCCCCATTTTTTGTCAATTGAACTGATGGCCATGTTTTCAACTGAAATCTCCATTGCAGGTTATCATTGATTCTCAGCCATTAACGGTAGCTGTCCTTGCAGCGCTGCTCTTTGGAGAATCGATTGGCGCGATAGGAGTTGGAGGGCTCGTGCTGGGTGTCGTCGGGCTTTTGCTTCTCGAGGTTTGCCTTTGTATGCAGCATACATGATATCAGTATTGAACCTAGGCAGATAATGTTGATTACGGTAACAGGTTGTGTTAATATAATATTTTCTCGACGGCCATTGCATAGTTATAGCATTTCGAAGGCATAAGTTCCTTGTAGAAATATTTGAACCAAACCCACTTATTTGATTTGTCTTAATTCCCATAGCAATTCTTACAGGTTACAACAATTGCCTTCTGAATTATTCTATTACTGATATGTGGCAACTAATTATTCAGTACATACATGCTGTGTTATCCATAAAATGGTGTAAGTGGCGATCTTAGCTTTTCCAAGTTATGCTGTATTTTATCGAAATCAAACATGTGCTGTGTGAATTTAATGCCTTCTTGTATTGTGTGCTTACTCATTGATTGTGTATATCTGTGCTAGGTTCCAGCACTATCAGTTGAAGGGAATGACACAGCGATCTGGGGAAGTGGGGAATGGTGGATGTTCCTCTCGGCCCAAAGCATGGCTGTCGGAACTATCATGGTCCGTTGGGTGTCAAAGTATTCTGATCCAATCATGGCAACAGGATGGGTATGTTATTGCAGATGAATAAATAGTTTTTTTTTTAGTATAAGAACAAAGTGATGCATGCTCTAGAGCACAATTGATATTCTTTAGTTTTCTTGCTACAAATGTACCTTTTTACCATGATATGTTTTGTGCAAATGATTCTGTATGCATCTTGGAAGTGCTAATTTGGTCATTTTTATTATGAGGAACTCAATGTGTATACCTATGCTTTTCTGCATTGTGGATCTTAATGCATATTTCTGATAAATTGTGAGAGGAATCATGTATTGGAAATGCATTCATAGTGCAAGTCTGCAACATCAACTGGAATATGAATGCTCAGATCAACCTATAACTTTCAACTCTGTAATGGTTCTATCAGATTATGTATGTTGATGTGATTACAGCTGATTGTCATTCCCCCTGTTCTTTGGATAGTTTTGTTTGTTTTTGCAATTCTGAAAAGCCTGGCATTACACCATGTAAAATGCTAATATTCACATAATTACAGCACATGATAATTGGTGGCCTTCCTTTGTTGGTTATATCTGTTCTCAATCATGATCCTGCGCTGAATGGGCATCTTCAAGAACTTACACTGAATGATGTATTAGCACTTCTCTATACATCTATATTTGGCAGTGCTATCAGCTATGGTGTGTACTTCTACAATGCTACAAGAGGTAAGATCACTTCCCACTCATGTTTAGCATTTACTGGTATTGTCCACAAATATATTCTTTTAGGATTCCCATATGATTATGTTCTTTGCAGGTAGCTTGACCACACTTAGTTCTCTCACTTTCTTAACTCCTATGTTTGCTTCCATTTTTGGGTAAGATTCTTTCCCCAACATGTCAAGCTAAACATACATGACAATTGACAAACATGTAGCACTTGTTTTCTAATTGCTCTTCTGCCTCACCTTTCCTTCTCAGGTTCCTCTATCTGGGAGAGACCTTCTCGCCTGTACAGCTTGGTGGCGCGCTTCTAACATTGGTCGCCATCTATATGGTTAACTACAAAAGCATCGTAGGCGAGAAGTAAAAGGCCGTTGCAAGATTCTTCTGGAGACACTGGCACAGATGAATGCTGTACTGAAGCACCTGTAACATTTCATTGGCGCAAAACAGCAATGTGAAGATTTAAAGTACATCCCACGGTCCCAACATCTCACACAGCTTGAACTGTGAAAGAAGACAGGGATATGGTGGTATAACCTCTGAACATAGTTAGACTGGTAATTTGGGCATCAGTGCATACTTCCGAGGTTCCCAAGTTAGTCATCTACTTCATTTCGGCTTGCATTCTGAAATGGATAAAACTTGAGTGTCATCAGATGGTTAAAACATAGTTGCTATGAACTGTGTTGTGGATATCAAATTGAGGGAAGTTGCCCCTTTGTACAAGTAGTTTGGAGCATAAAAAAATAGTTGATCGAAAGGAAGCAGCTGTATATGTTGAGCACAAGCTTCGTCTATCGATCTAAGTTCAGACACTTTCCCTGATAAATACGAAGCATGTCCCTTTTGTGAGAAAAAAGGGAACTGTGAAACTGTAGTTGATGGTGCATGTATATATACGTGTATATGTTTTCCAACTGTGATATATTTTACAATTATTTTATATTTTAATTTTTTTTAAAATAAACATTTTATATTTTGCATTTTGAGAACTAGTAATATTGTCGTTTGAAACATAGTTTTCCAAATACCAAAACGGCTAAAAGCAGTACCACCACCAAATCGAGATTATCAAAATCTACTGCAATTCCAAATTCATCAACTTTAACTACAAGGCAGGTAAAATACAGTATGAATCCAATTCCAACCACGACATATATTGGATATCAAAATAGTTCCAAAACTTTCTGTACACGGTCGGTTTACATCTTCAGCCAAGAAAAACACAAAACCTATAAGTCCTGATATATTCGGTATATATTCAGCTGCAGGTAAACTCTCAAGTCTCAAGTCTCAAGCGGTATAAAACTCTATCCGGCAAATGTCAGTGTCATTTTGACAAAACGGTAAAACGTTTGCTACCATTGTCGCTGGGGTAAGTAAAAATCTGATGCCTCCTCTCCAAAGTCTGCAGCCATGGGGTTTCTTTGCAAGTTGCAACCTACTCTTCTCAGATGACACAGATCAGCTGTTCAGATCACATGGGGTGAGTGATGAAGTAGTTGTAGTCATGGTGCTGGACTCCGAGCTGCTTGAGCCAGGAATCCGCGGCGCCGAAGAGGGAGACCATCCTGTCACGGTCCCCTGTTCTCGGGTTGGTCCAGAGAGAACCCTGCAGCTTGTGCGCCGCGAGCCCGAACGGAGCAAGATGAGTCTTGCTGACCTTCTTCTCCGTCTCGTCGTTTCGCTTCCCGTTGGCCATGCTCTCGAGCGCGTAATCTGTGGATGAGGCGGAAAATACAGGTCAGCACGGTTCAAAATTAGTGCCAAGAACATCATTACCGCAACGCGTTGCAGTTCAAAAACAGAACTAAGGTGATCATCGGTGAAGTTTAATAAAGGAAAACAGTGCATAATATTTTTCTTCTTAATATGCATATCACTATCAAGCACACTGGGATGGCTCAGTTTAGACTCAAGTACCATTACCCACTGATTTTTTATATATTTGAAATGGACAGCTGGGGTGCCTAAGTGCTGTTGCACTCATTGCAATCCAAGCAACCTTGCACCAATATTTTATATAAGTATACAAAGAGCTCCTACCACTGTGGTAGAACATAGATATTTCTAGTTTTTAAGAAACAGCTGCATGCCTAAGACTAAGCACTAAAAGTCATGGCATGTGGCAAGACAGTCTCCTTCCTCCGCTTTATCGGGCAACCAAACTTCTGCCACTTATCCTCTTTTTTAAGTGACATCCTTATATATGCACTTAAAAGCTAAGGCATGAGACCTTTTGAAGCTGAAGTTGGAAGCTTGGATGCAAAATAGAAAGCTGTACAATCCCTTGAAGAAAACTTACAAACTCTTGCAAGCTAAGCCTGTGTTTTAAGCTAACATAGCATGCTAATGTGCAGTAAAAAACATATCTTGACATTAACACAAAATAATAAGAGTAAATATATTTTCTAAATTTAGCATCTAAAATGAAGAGGATAAAAGCATCAATGTGCTTGGTCTGAACTCTGAACTGTAAAGACCAATCAATCGATCAGTCGCAAGCAAGGCGACTGTTTTCTAGCTACATAAGTCCACAGTCTGAACACTAAAGACCACTCATCTGACCAGTCTCAAGCAAAGCAACTATTTTCTATATATATAGTTCATTTTCTGAACATTAAAGACCACTTGATCAAACAGTCCCAAGCAACACTACTGCGAAAGCTACACTGCTACAGTTTTGAGTGTCTTAGTCCTGGGATAGCATGTTGCCATTTAAGCATAGTTTAAACATATACTGATCCTGAGGTTTTTTTCCCCACAGGAACTGATTATTCTTGTGTAATGTATATCATCATGAGATGTAACAAAGAAAAAACATATAGTAAGCTATAATATTTTTGAATTGATATGCCTGCCTATGGCAACACTGTAAGCACACAAAGGGGCAATATCATATCCATTATTTTCATCCAGTAATAGAATAGTACCCTAGAATATATATATTTTTCGACTCTATCACAAGATTCAATCAAACTAGTACTTGTTAATGTCCCTAATGCAACAAATAGCATACCTTGAAATGAAGAGGAAATGGTATGATAAGTTAGGAAGCATGCAGATAAGTCCTTCACATTGCGCTGGTAGGGAATATGGTAGATGGGATACCTAAATATAGCAATATAAGTTAATGATAATGTTTAGCGTAATTGTCTCTGGGAACAGAATTAACAACCAATAATGGATTCAAGCTCCTGGAGACATCAGCTACTATTTAGAAACAAAAGAATTATAAAGTGCCAAAATTAACAGAAATGCTTCAATCAACTACCAAACCAAGCAACAAGGCGATTAGAACAACCATGAATGCAGAAACACCAGATTTACTATAGCTGTTTATAAGCCAGATTTTATGCTAATTGCCAAAAAAACAGCATTAATAGAGGTAAGCTTGATCAATACCAGGCAACTGACATCCAACTAGCAGGCGAAAGGTCAACACTTCTCAGGGATGTCAACCCAGGATAGCTCTGGGATAGTTCATACACCTGTAGAAAAACGATATAAGCATAGGAAAAAGAAACAGCTGGTCTAAACTACTATCACATAGGACATAAAAATTTACCTTGTCAATGAGTGGAATCCTTCCATAAGGAGAGCAAACCTCGAAGAACTCAAAATACATGTGCCCGTGGCGTTTTCTATTGCCACTTATTGCATCACAGTTAAATAATGAGTCTTCAGATGTTGAACTCCAAGATCTTGACATCTTCTCATTGTCCTCATCATCGCTCCAATAGTCCATGCCATTATCTTCACCAAAACTCCTACAGAAAAAAAAAACAGAGAGAGAACCGATTCACAATGCATCCAGAAATCGGCACAGACTCAAAATTCACGCACAAGAACGGATCTTTTGTGCAGACCTGGATGCAGTCTGGGCTTTGTTGGTATATAGCTGTATCCCTGACAAGTAGGGAACATAGTATTGGACTACTCTTTCCCCTCCATACAGCTGCACCGTAGTTCCAGCCCCGTACGCGCTCCACTCATAGTACTGCTCCCATAGGTCCGCGAGGTTGAAGTACTCGACGCTGTCCATCTCGGCGTGGTGCCAAGAATCGCTCGAAAACCGGCCATTCGCCTGGATCAAAACGAGCAACATCTCACTTTCAGTCTTAAGTTGACAAAATAAGCACAGCTAGTGGTAGCCCAGCTTAGCTAACCCAGATCGAAAAGGCACTCATATACAGCAGCTGATCAACATGCGGAAATAGAATTGACAATAGCAACCGGGAATTTAAGATGGCAACCGTATATCGCCACAGGCCGCAGCTACTTTCGTCCCAATTAGGCAGCACGGCAGCAAGCACAGAGCTTGATGGTACAATTGTCCTTATAATCGTACCAAGGAAAAGCTATATACAAGCATGGACGCACTATCAATTAATCAATCAATCTACCATTACCCACACCCCCCATCCTTTTCACGGATGCATTTTGCAATCAGGAAACACGCAGCAGCATGATCAATCTCTGACAGAAAAAAAAATAAAAAGAAATAAACAGAGAGCAGTAACTAGAATAATCGAGTAATGGGCAACAGATCATGTCAGCCACATCCACACCAAAAATCTCGCAAAGAACACGAAGCTTTAATCAATCGATCAATGAGAGAGAGAGAGAGGAGGAGGAGGAGGGGGTGACCTTGGGGAGGAGGTGCGTGTCGACGGCGGGGGTGGTGCAGTCCAAGAAGCACTGCAGGTTGGACGACGGCGACGACGAACGCCCGTACTCCTCCACCCACCTCCCGCCCGCGCCCATGGCGGCCTCCTCCTCCTCACCACTCACACTCACCGCCACCGCCGCCGCTCCAAACGCCAACGCAACCAACAAACACACGAAGAAACCGAAATCCGCCCGAGAGAGAGAGACAAAGAACCCACCGCCCCTTTGCTGCTGCTGCTGCCAAGATTGGAGAGGAGGAGGAGGAGGGGGAAGGGGAGGAGACTTTATGCGGACTGATGCGAGGAGGAAGAGGAGGAGGAGAGAGAAACTGGGCTTCGGTTTGCTTTGGCTTCTGTGTTTCTCTCTCTAGGTGAGGTGAGGTGAGGTGAGGTTAGTTTTCTCTCTCTAGGCGTCGGGGGAGGGGTTGCCTTGTCGGGCGCAGCAACAACGCAATCTCATCCCCACGTCACGCACCCACGGGGGAGGAAGGAGGGAATGGGGGAGAAGAGAAAGCTACGGGTACTGACCCGGTAGCCCGATAAGGCATTGTTCGCCTGTTCAGTTAATCCCTCTGGTAATGGACTGATAATTTGATTTTTAATCTCAATATCTTGTTTGGTAGAGGGGATGGAAATTGATAGGGAGTTTAGTTAGAGATTAGATCATTAATAAAAACGGATGGTTGAGATTTGATTAGACAAAGTAAAGGAGGAATTCCCTCCCAATTACCTGCCCCTACCCAGGTATTGAAAAAGAGGGAGTTCCTTCCTTAATTCCTCATCCCATCCCACTAAAATTCTCATATCTTCTAACCAAACAAAACACTTAATAGCATCATCCCTCTAAACTCCCAATCCCTTCTAAAAACTCCCTCCAACCAAACGGGCTGTAAGAGGATTTGAAAGGAATGTATTTCATGTCTATTGTAGTATGTACTCCCTCCCTTTCAGGTTATAAGCCGTTTTGACTTTAAGTTTGACCAAGTTTGTAGGAAAAAATAGTAGCATTTTTAACCAAGACAAATTTATTATGAAAATATGTTCAATTATTGATTTGATGAAACTAATTTAGTATAATAAATATTACTGTAAATTTAGTTAAACTTGAAACAGTTTGACTATAACCTAAAACGGAGGGAGTAATTATTTTTTAAAAAACATCTCTATTTTTTTTCCTACTCGGAATTAATCGAATAAGGCCTACGGGAGTAGATCGCCTGACTCACCAAACTAAGATGGTGTTGGTATGAAAATTGGAATGTGAGTTTGATTTTGTTTTTTTTTCCTTTAGATTTGTTTTGTAGTTTCTTCATTCATGAAATTATTCTTTGTATCTGTGTAATCTTCTTCTTAAATGAATGTATTTTTTTCTTCACTTGTTATTGTTTCAACATTATATTAGGCTGAAAACATATGGTTACTACTCGTATTTACGGTTATTTATTCTTTCGATGCTATATGATGTGCCTACGATGGTGAGACATGTATGACTTTATATTTACTTTATCAATCTCAATATATTTTCTTCAAGATATAGGATAGGGCGTGCGTGCACGTTTTAAGGGTAACTGCTCGCACGTGCATACGTGTTTATATTGTTTTTAAAAAGATAAAACAAAAGGGACGCGCCATAGGATACCAACGTGCACACAAGAAAGACTACTTACGAAAAAACTAGTTACTTGGTTACACTAACTAACGAATTTAGAGTGCCACATAATAAAAACATAATTTTACACATAATCTATGTGAGCTAAACACTCTGTTCTACTCATATTTTTTTTACATGTAAAGTTCTTTTTTTCCCTAAAAGATAAAGGGGGCAGACATTCTCTCACTACACTCCTACAAACTCACCAAACCCGTTAACCCGCAAAAACAGAATTGGATCAGTTAAATATTGCTTTCCATCTTTTGGAAGCCTTTGACTCTTTTTTTCCACCTTGTCATGCAGCCGGGCCCACTCTCCTGTATATCCAAAGCCAAGCCACGAAAGTGTAAAGCCACAGCAATTTTTCTTTTCTATGAGCCCTTTAAATAAAAAGGCAAAAATATTTTTTGTGGATCCGATAGCCCGGTAGATGGTGCACGCCCTCCCATCATACGTTTTTATGCAAAAATCTTTGTCCTGTTTTGTGAGTCACACTGGCCTTCACTTTGTGCCTTCCATGCTCTTGGCCCTACTGTGCCACACCCTCTAGCATGCAACCAATTTAAGCCCCATCTGGCCATTGCAAAGTTGCTTGGCTTTTCTTGCAACTAATTTTGTAGCCTTTTTTTTTTGCTATTATATGTTGCTTCTTATCTTATCCTTTCTCTTTTTGATGTACATTTCGTAGGGTTATTTCGGTTACACTTTATCCTTTTGCTTTATTGGTCATACTTTGGTGTTATGTATTGGGTAGAAGTTTTCTATCTTTTTTTTAGTTTTCTTCATGGATGTGTTTTAAGGTTTAGTAATGGGCTTCAGGATCCATGTGAAAAAAAAAGTGAAGCTTGTGGATTAGAATTCGAGACAATATCAATTTGACTGCTTTTACATAAATATTTTGCATGGGTACAATGTAATTAATTTATATGATACTTTGAAGATATGGATCTTAATTAAATTGATTGAACATCTATTTTTTGTGGATCTTTCAGATATAGTTTGTTAATAAGTGATTCTCATTCGCATATGGCTTTATCTAATTATTTTGTCTTGCAATCATAAACAGTGAACATATCCAGCTTCTTCTATTTCGGGTTATAAAGATCATGCTCCATTCAGACATGAGTGGTCTCTCCTAAATTCAAATACTATAGCGAATTCAAATATGGCACAAATAGGATACAAGCATAACCGTGCGAATTTAGACAATGTTTTGCTTTTATAGATGACAATGAGAAGATGTGGATTTTAATTAAAACAATAGGACATCCATTTTTGTGCATCTTTAAGATAGTAATTTGTTAATAACCGATTATTCCATTTAACCATTTCATTGCGTGTTCATGAGCATCTATTTTTATTTTATGAAATCTGTACATCATTCTAGCATGAGTTGGCTTTCTTAAATCCAAGTACTTCAGCAAAATCAGGCACAAACTAGATACAACCGTAACCATGTGACATGAGTTGGTCGATGTAAGTTGCCACCTGGCCATGGTCCACATAATTAGCTTGAACATATAAGTTTTGTTACTCTTCATTTAAAGGTCCAAAACTATTAGCTGTCTCAACCATAATTCTGATAGAATTTTTTTTGGTTGGATGGTTTAGGTTGGGGCATGCATGAGTCCCTCAATTAGTTGGCAGTACACTGGCCCTATTCTAAGCTTACCTAGCTGGAACTTGAATCTTGTCCAAAAGAAAGCACAAGAAAGTATTGTCTTGTGGGTAGAATTGGAATTCTTTTTTCTGTGGAAGTCAAGTGGAACCTGGCCCACCCATTAATTTGATCATTCCAACTATGAGAGATGATGTGATATTGGACAAGGGTATCTTCATTGGGGAACACTTGTTTCATTTTCTTTGAGAAAGGCATTTGATCCTGAATTCCTCCTAGCCTACATTTGCAAAGTGTAGCAGAGATGCTGCCATCCACAATAAATATAGTGGTGGTAGTGTATTGTAGCATCTTTGTTTGCATGCTCTGCGTATTTGGTTATTGTTTTCCGCCGTGTTTAGTTCCAAAGTTTTTCTTCAAACTTCTAACTTTTTCATCACATCAAAATTTTTCTACACACACAAACTTTCACCTTTTCCATCACATTGTTCCGATTTCAACCAAACTTTCAATTTTGGTGTGAACTAAACACAGCCTTCATCTCACTGCCTATTTTGTGTGTGCCTTTCTGGCATTCCTTTTCTGTGAGAGCTTGCTTGGAGAATGATTTAAATAGTGTCTGCCATTAGTCCAATATATAGAACAATAATCCAATCACCAATGTGATGTGTGTACTTAGGGTTACACATATAAGCCACTAAAGCAGCATCTTGATAATACTAGCTAGTTTCTAGTTTTGTAGCTGCATATATAGCACGATGGTGCAATAAATATAGTGCATATCCATTTTTATTATGATGGAAAGATATAAACCATAAGGGCATGTTTGGTTCGACGTATCAGCTTGTCGTGGGTCACGCAGTCCAATGACGTCCTAGACGAGGCAATCCACCAAAATCACATCATATGAAGTGATGGAAAAAAAAATTGCGAGGTTTTAGCACGAACAACAGACGATACAAACCCATGACACAAATCAAACATGATTGTTAGGGGATCGAATGAACCTAGCATAGACCGGTTTCATCAAACCAGACAACATCTAAATTTCTTTCTTGTAAAACATGCAAGACATGGATAACCGTAGTTCTCTTTTGTCAAATACCGATGCCTACAATTGATTATTTGTATGGGCTTCATTTTCATATTAATTTTATAAGCTTCATGGATTTATTTATGACATCCCTCTATTCGTCATATGTTAAAAGAGTGTGTTACTGGGTGTGGTGTCACTACTGAAGAACTGATCTTTACTCGGATGCAAAAAAAAAATACATTTATCCTGGTTCGAATAGGAACCAGAACTAAAGATCATTTCTAGCCACGGTTCAATAGTTGTCAAGCCCCAACGATCTTTAGTCCTAATTGGTGTTACCAATCCAGACTAAATATACTTTCACGGTCAGATGTGTGCAGTAGGTGGGATGATAATGCATGTGAGGGCCGAGGTGAGAGATCTTGAGTCCGAATCCCACATCCCACATATTTTTTTACTTGGTATGCATCTTTAGTCCCGATTATTTCAACCGGAAAATCCCTTTCTCCAGTAATGTGTGTGTGTTAGGTACATGTGCATAGGTGTGTAGTGTAGGTCTTCCTCATAACCGAACAAACTAACAGTTCGCAATAATCGGTTTCATCCAACGGTTAATTACTCAATTTTCCAACATATCCTTACATTTCTATTTCAGTTATGTACAAATTAACTCATGCAAATCTGTGGAATTTGCATTTTTTTTCCATTGCAATCCCCTCCCAATTCAGTTTCAAATCTGTGGAATTCACATTGTGCCTAACTCTGCTTCTAGAACTCTTGCTAAGCTCGAGCTTAGCTACCATCCAATTCCAATTACTGTCCAGCATCCACAACAATTGACCTGTCGTTTGAATCATCTTCGAATTCCGTGCCACTTGACAGCGAGCATCCGATGCTAAGCTAGCTTAAAGATAAATTCTACTACTACTCCTCGATAAAAAGAATTAGCTTACACGGCTAATGCACCTCTGGTTAGGCAGCTGATTAAGCTAAGCTCTGAGAGTGACATGTTTTACAGTGACGTGGCACTGAGTGATCCCCATCCTAATCCGGATTATGCGAAGAATAGACCATGGCCGCCCCCCGTGATCCTGT